TCACTATATGATCAATGCAAACCAAACAAATGATGTCAATTAACTCAAGTTATTATGTATGAAATGCAGACTCGAACAATGCTATCAATGGCAGATGTAAACTCAACGAAGTGCTTAACGTGTAAGACGTCCTCTATCAAAGGGAATGATTAGGTGTTCCTTCGTTAAAATGCATAACAAATTTCCTATTTTAGCAGCAATGGTGAGGAACATGCGAACAAATGCGGGAAGGATGAGTGTTTTTATGCACTTAGTATGAGAGAAAAAGGAAATGAAAACACTCGTGTTAAAACCTGTATCCCTAATCACTATATTTTCCCAAAATGGATCAGTGTATGTGTAAGTGACTATCGGGACAATGCATGAGGGTTTGATATCTAATATGGTAGCTGTTTTACTATGCTCAGTTTGGGTTTCAACTTTCATACAGATATCTAAGTGAATCGATTCAAGAACCAAATCAGGAACATGTTGGGTGTCATGTTTGTCCGGGAGGACCTCGTGGGGAATACCAACAACGTTTTCAGTCACGAGGGTTGGTTCAGAAGGAGTTAGAGTTTCAATTTCAAGAACAACTTCAGTGATAACATCAGTGGACTCCGTGATCAAAAGGGTAGCTTGGGGAATAGTCGGAGTGTTGTCATTGCTTGAAACTTTAGTTAACTCCACAATTGTAGGGGTGGTTTCAGAAGGAAAGGAAGTGCATGGTTCTTCGATTATACTATCCTGGATTTTCTTGTTAGAGTTAGTTTTTATCAAATCTACGGCCTGGTTAACGGTTTCCTTAATAATAGATTTTGATTCCGTTATAGGCGGCTTATTAATTCTAACTCTGAACGGAGTTGTACAGACAAAAGTAACGTGTCGATATCCTTGACAATTATAACACTGAATTATTGGGCTAAGTTTGGAGAGAGATCTCTCTGACTTCTGGCCCTTGGGATCGACTCTAGACTGGGAAGAGTTAGGGTTAGATCGACTAAGAGGCTGACTAGAGGTATCGGCACGGGAAGACTAAGAGGGATGAGTTTGAAAATTCTTAGCCCTATGAGATTGATGGAATTTGGTTTTATCTAAATCTTGAACTAAAGCGTAAGCTCTCTCAAGGGTGTTTACTCCTCTAGTCAAGAGTTCGGTTTGGAGGTCGTTTCTTAATCCAGCTCTAAGTTTTGATAAGACTTTCATCGGTGTTTCTGGTTCAATAGTGCTGCATCGAGTAAACAATTCATCAAATTGAGCAATGTACTCTTTTACAGATTTTGTTCCCTGAGTAAGACAATGCCACTTATCTAGCAGTCTATAAATAAATGTTGGCGGGAGATATTTTCGTTTCAGTTCGTCGGCCATTTCTCGCCAAGTAAACATTGGTAACTCACCTCTAATATGTCTTATCATTTCGAAGTTGGACCAATATTGGCAGGCGGGTCCAGTGAGCTTAATTATGGCAAACTTGACTTTCTGGGATTCCGTTAGGGCATACCAATCGAAGTAGCGATCCATGCTCTTCAGCCAGTCAAAAAACGTTTGTGGGTCGAGCCTACCATCAAAGGTTGGTGGATCAGGCATAGGTTGAGGTGGTGGTTGATAAACGACGTGCCCATGACCTTGACTGTGTAGAGGTGGAGTTGTAACACGCGCTTCTTTTAGCCTCACTAATCTTTCATTGGTTTCGTCAAATCGTGCTGCTAGTTTAGCGAATTTCTTAAGGAGTTCGGACTCTATACTGCCTGACATGCTTGACTCACTAGTTGACTCACTTGACTCTCCCAATCGATAGAGTAGACCTATACGAGTAGGCATGCACTAACAACTAGATAAGATAAATGGTGTGCACAAACAGCTAAATGAGATGAATGAATTTTTTTTAATATCAAATAAAAGACTCAACTAATCTAAAAAAAAAAATTCTTACACTAGAACCATGCTCTGATACCAAAATGATGCGAAACGGGGGAGGGGGTCGAAATGGGGGAGGGGGTCTATCAGAATCAGCGATTCAATTTGAACAAAGCACCGTTTCGCCAAAAAAAATCATGATATTCGGTAGGAAATTAATTAAAGCAGTTAATGCGACAGATGGATTTAATAATATTTTGCAACGATACTCATGAACAATTCCAATCTCAAATATTTTAATCACAATATTAAATATCATTTCGCAAGTTCTATATTCAATATCAATTTTTCAACAGTCACAGATTTAATTCTGTCAACTCACAAAATAAATTAAGCAGTGAATATATGATAATAGTTTAGAGATTTAATTTGTATGCAATTAACTGATAATTATGAGATTAACAGAAATTACTGAGTTGAGAGTTTACTATCCAAAATGCTGAGAGAAATCCAAAAGCCCATTAGCTATTACTGTGAAACCCAAGCCCATCAACTTGTAAGCTTTTCAAGAGGCTAGTGTCTGTGTTTCACCGACTCTTGTTGGCTACTGTTGCTTGTTGCACATAAAGAGGCCTGGTCTGATTTCCTTAGGAAGACGATAGCATGCCAAACAGAAGCCACTCTATTGAAGGAAAAACTGCAATTGTTGCCATAATTTCAAGCTCTCAGAAATAGAAGGATCCCATCCCTTCAATGGAAATATCCAAGCGCGGTTGAAGGGGTGAAGGCGGCGTTGGAGGAGAGCGGCACAAGGGCGGAGGCCAGCGGGGGTTCATGAGGGCGACGGGAACGTGGGGGGATCGGAGGCGTGCTGGACTGGATGGAATCAGGGGTTCGCGAGGGCGATGGTTAGGGCTCCAAGGGGCAGGGATCAGAAGAGGAGGGTCTGGGGTTTGGTTACTGTTGGGGGGTTCTTTTGGGAGGAGCAGAGGTTGCAAGAGTAGGGGATAGATGGGGTTGTCGGTGCTATGGAGGAGATGGAGGAGCAGGGAGAACGGAGGTTGTTGGTGATGAATAGGATTGGTTAATTTGGAACCGCGATTTTCTTCTGACGGCTGGACAATTGACGTGGAGAAGAATACAGAACAATAAAACTGCCTAGGGTTTCACACCCTTTGGTTTCACACCAAATTAAGCAATGCAATTTTTTATTTCATTCATCAATATCAAATCTGATTACAAATAGTGTTTAAATAGACAACCAAATTACAGATTTTTCAATTCCCTCAAATCACTCAACTACTAAATTTGATCAAAATTCAAATTTCAAAAAGATTCAAAATTCAAAAATTAAATCCTACCAAAATAGAAAATCCCTCAAATCTCTCACAATTATTAAAATTCAAATACAAAAATAGAAATGCCATTCTTGTCCTCATCAGAAGGTGTATCAGAAAGTAGCAAGGGAAATGAGGAACAGATGATTCTATCAAGGGACAAGGGAAAATGCTATCTCCATGTAAGCTGCTTGCGTTGCTCTACACTGATGGATGACCTAGAGCATAGGTTGAGATTTCTGCCTAACACAATGGGAAAAACAGATTCAAGTACCTGTGCTTATTGCCTTATTCTATAAATGAATCAATGTAAGATGCGAAGATAGAAGGAATTTAATTAGAACTGTTGGTAGGGGTACTTCCATCGCTTGTTCTAGATCGTTGATGAATATTTTCTTACATCATATACAAGTGTAAATTGCTACCATTTTAAGTGCCTACTTCCTTGGACATTTTCTGTAAAGATGTATTTTACTTTGGAATGGGATCAATATAATCCATCAACCTTATAATTGACCGTAAGACATGTTTGTGCAATGGAACTTTATAGTTGCAAGCAAGATGACAGTTCACTTGGAGTTGGAGTGGTCTTTTTTCCGTATTTCAGCATATTTGTGTTGGTTCCACATCAACTTAAACTTGGGTGCTAGAAGTTAATTAGTAATTTGGAAATTCTACTATGTTTGGGCTGACCTTGATGATTTGTCCAGAGGAATTATGTTAAACATTTGGAGAGATAAGCATATTAATGGCTTCTAGTTATGCTTTTATATTTTGAATTCCTTGGGAACAAGAAATTCCATCATACATATGCTGGCACATCTATTCAAGTTTGAGGCAGAAATTATATAAGTATTTCGAAGGAAATTTAACACTATTTTAGCCCTAAGGTACACATGGATTTATGTGATATAATTTCTAATGAATTCCAGCACTGGATCAACCTAAAATTTTCTCAACATAAATCTGACAGCACATCCTACAGTTAATAAGTGCTAAATCTTCTTTGAAGAGCTATGTTTATTTCGATATTGTACATAAATTCACACACACAAACATGTATGCTAATTTAAATCTATATAGATGTGAGTGTAACTAGAATAGGAAGATTATGCTCAATATCAGGAAGAAGGTTTATCACTTTTTAGTTGTTGCTTCAGGACTGTAAAACCGTTAACTGCTTTGTTGACTTCTCTAAGCACATTATGACTCTGTTTGGTTGGCTGAGGAATTAGATGCTAATATTTCCGAATGTCTCATTTACCAGTAGTCAGGGTGTAACAATATTTAATTACTTGAAGTTCGCTCCAAAACCATTTAAATACCACCTGTAAACCAACCTACTTTGGAAGTTGCTGATTCTTTCACAAACTTGGAATTACTCCCTCTCTCCTCCAAACCGGTTGCAATAGTGCCAGATCTTATTAAATCTCTCTATCCAAGTAACCATCTAATACCAAATTCTAATTCTTGCTAATTTCTTTCTCTTAAAACTCACAACACCTAAAACTGAACTCTCCAATCCAAACATAACCTACATGTACCATAATTGTATGTGCAGAAATCTAAAGTATTGCTAATTGTTAAAAAAATGTCAAATCATTTTAAATTATAAACTATCTAGAAAATGCTATACACACAACTCACCTGCATGTAACAAAAAAATGTGGTTGAGCCCTGAGCCCTTTCTCAGGTCAATTTTAAATTGAAAGCAACCTCTGGTCTGGTTTAATGCAACTTTAAATTGGTGTACGTACTTCTTTATCAATCATAAATCATTCAATCATCAGGATCATAATTTCATTTTATTTATCTAACATGCTTCAGGTTCAGCATGTAGTACTTTTGGATGATGAAGATGCGCAACCTATGAACTCAACACAGGGTGGTGATGCATTTGATAATAGGTCAATTGAAGTCTTTATCCCGCAACTACCTCTTCAATGTCTTTATGACTCGTGATGGTTATCTAATTATCGTATTAAAGTTTTCTTGTATACTGAAACAAATACTTCATATTTTTATAGGGAGTACAAGATATATTATCCTTCAAGGTGCACCTTCAGGAAATTGATCCATACAAATTTCTACAAACTGGTAGCCTGCCGAGCTCCACATTTATTAATATAAAGTGTTCTTTGTTGACAGGGGTGATCCAGAATGTGTTGAGCTATTTTGTTCAGATGTTAACTGCCTAGAACCTGAATCATATTTGTCATCACCCATAATGAATTTCTACATTCAGTAAGTACTCCTTTTGATTACTTTTTGTCAATTTACTTTCAGAATCAAGTTTATATTCTATTACTATCAAGAGAAGTTGATTCCTTCTTTAACCTGATCAAATTACCATTGTGCACGCAAAATCATAATTTGTAGATGGCAGAATGCCTCACAACTAGCTATTTAACTTGATATTCTGCTGCTGGCGCCTTTGTGCATTAATTCCTATGTGATAATGAGTGACAAAAGACACAATGTTGTTTTTCTGTGTAGGAGGCAGTTAAACTTAAAGGTTTGCATCTTATGGACCCTACTAGTAAATTTCAGAACCCTTGTGGTTTGGATGGGAGATGTGAATGTCTTTTTAACATGTGGTAAAAGAAGCAAAAAAAATATTACAGAATCACCATATCCAACAACTCATGCCAGTGTCCAAACCACATCTATATCCTTGTCCCGAGAAATACAGCCAAGGTTTGCATTATTGCATGTATGCTGAAAGGTGCGTGCGATATTAGGTTTAGACTCCTTTACATATCCTAGGTATGACAAACTTTTCGTTTGTGAACACATCATAATACAGCCAAGGTGTGCATTATTGCACATATGCTGAAAGGTACATGCTGTATTAGGTTTAGCCTCCTTTACATTCCTAGCTACCGCAAACCTTTTGTTTGTGAATACATCACAATTCTGTTTATTTTTTTACTCTCTTCACAACTGGGATGAATTTGTCTTATAGATTCTGTAGTAGTACTATAGTAATCATTTTTGCTGTTTTGCAGGTATCTTCAAAGATCACCGTCTCTGATGGCTAAGAGAAAAGGGGACTGTTATATATTTAATACATACTTCTATAGTAAACTTGAAGAAGCGATAACGTGCAAGGTATAATCTTTCATGTACTGAAATGTTGGGGAAACAATTATTTAGATGAAAATGATGCCAGAGTTGAATCATTTTCACCATTTATTTATCATAAACTGGTAGAAGAAATGATCTAACTTATGGAGCTAGTGATTCTGATGTTCATCACAAAAATTTTATGTAAAGATATTTCTTAAGGATTGGTCAACTTAAAATTGGTATTTATTAGAAACTTAGATGACAGCTTTGTGATTCTTCGCTAGTACTTTCTGTGACAAGAATCTTCCATTGAGATTGTCATGTATCAGTCCATGAAGATTTGGTTTACTCCATTCGTCATCTGTTGCATGTCTAGGGTGCCTATTAGATCCAACATCCCTGTCTTTTATATTTGAAGTTGCAAGGGCTTTGATGGATGGTGAAGGTCAGAAGTTAAGATAGGATAGTCCCGTAGTCATGTTCTTTAATATGTGTTGTAATGCTTGATTTTGTATTATCATTTCTTTTGTCGCAAAATCTATATTTATAGGGTCATAGGTAAACCCAAAGGTTTTCCCCCCCACCCCAAACAAAAAAACTGATGATTATCTGAGACATTTAAGGCAGTTAGTGGTCTTTGAGTAAAATGTGTGTTTTACCCGTAACTACTTCAAATTGAACTACTCCAAAAATGTTCAGCTCTCCAGTTTTGCCTTTCTGTCTCTCCATTTTTGAAATAGTGTTTGGTTAGGCAGAAGAACTCAGATGGAAGAGTATGGGGATGTGGGTCAAAAATTGAAAGCAGGGATATAAAAGCGATTTTGACTGTAGTTTGGAGAGACTTTGTTTTCCCATAAGGTTAAATTTGTCTAAACGTGACCCTTGTAAAGGTCATGTGGTGAAAATTTCCAAAATTCTTTAAATATCAGTTAACACGAAAGTTATCCATCTGTAAAGTCTTATAAACTTTATGATATTTTACTGAAGTTTCAGGCTGTTTTTTGTTGGCAATTTCCCCAACTTGTTTTTTGGGAAATTCTTAATCGAAATGGGTCACATGATTTAGGGTGGAAACCCCATCCTTTATATTCGATTGAATATTTATTAGAGGTATTGGAAATGTTTGTGGGAGTCCGTCTCCTTGTTCCTAAGCATGAAATGGGGGATAAACTCCAAGTTTTAAACTGAGAACTATGTGTGATTTTCATCTACCGAGATGCTAAACAGGATAATGTCGTATGATCTTGCAAAAATGTGGTGAATCTGGTAAAATAGTTGACGTGGCC